AGCACTCAGGAGCGAGAGGCAGGCAGATCTCTGTGAGGCCAGCCTAGTCTACATAGCGAATTCCAGGCCAGCTGGGGCTACAGGAAGACCGTGTTTCAAAAAGATAAACAAGCAAAAAAAGTGTATTCAAGTAAAGCCTCACTAAGAGATTTTTTTTAACTTTTACAAAAACTTTATTGAGAATTTCATACATGTATATAAAGGTGTTTTGATCAAATCCATGCCTACTCCCTCCCCTCCAACATACCCCCTCTGAAGAGGTAACCCTAAAATATTTTAAGGATTAGATACAAGCTCCCAAATACTTTTGACATTTTTGGCCTTTGGAACAGAGTATGTTGCTAACAGGCCTAAGGACATTTTGACTTTTAGCCCAGAAACTGGCTACATTTCTTTGGGGTTTTTTACCCTAACCACCTAGCTGGTTCCTACCTCCTATTCTTATCATGCCATCCTCTGAAGGGGTTACCCAAATTGCCAATAGGGAATAGTGATGCAGACTGCTCTGGCTTCTTCCATGCTGAACAGGGATGTAGGGTAAGGCAATTGGAGTACCCCTTCAGTGGGTCTATCTAAAAGACTCCCAATTTGTGTAACTCTTGTCTCTAAGGGGAAGAGAAAGTCCTTGAATCATGAGTAGGAGGTGTGAAGAAGTAGAGGCAAGAGTAATTATAGCATTACAAGTTCTACACAGGGAACTAGAAAAAAGTCAGAACAGGGCAAATTTCAAATGTTCATATGAGAGTCCATTGGAATTTCTTGACGAGAGCTTCCTAAAGCATCCCTCTATTAGGTTTCTCCTCATTTTTCTTTTGTTGGTCAAGGCTGGACTAGTTGGCTGGGAAGAGTGGCTGGATACTCAGGTGAGGGTCCAGTGACCCTGCTTGGCACTCCTTTAATGAATGAGCACAACCATCAACAAGCCCACTTGAAGGACCTGGAATTTAACAGGATTTGATGCTAGGAGCCACATATGAGGGAGAACATATGTCATTAGTTTTTCTGAGTCTGTGTTACTTCACTTAGTGTAACAGTTTCTAGATCCATCCATTTACCTGCAAATTTCATTATTTCATCTTTACTGCTGAATAGAATTCCATTGTGTAACTATACCACGTTTTTGTTAACCACTCATCAGTTGAGGGGCACTTAAGTTGCTTCCATCTGAGCTATTGTGAAAACAGCAACAAACATGGTTGTACAAGTGTCTCTACAATAGGATGAGTTCTTTGGGTATATGACAAGGAGTGGTATAACTGGGTCAAATGGTAGGTTCATTTTTAGTTTTCAAGTGGGTCCAACTTCTGCAACAACTCATTTCTAGAAACAGACATCATGGTCTTCAGCATGTCATCCACAGCACCAAGGGAGCTCTCCAGGGCTAACAAAAACTCATAAATTTCTACTGGGTAGTTGTCATTAATTTCTTCACCTGCCATTGTAACCAACACAATGCTGTGGACGCCTGGCTCCTGAACTAGCCCATAGTTTAAATGGGTCATTTGTGTTCTTGGTTCTTATATGTTTTGGAGGTTAAAACTCTGTCAGATGTGTCACTGGTGATGATTTTTTTCCCCACTCTGTGGGTTTAGCTTTCACTTTCTGGATTGTTTCTTTTGCTGTACAGAAGCATTTTAGTTTAATGAGGTCCCACTTATTGATTGCTGACCTTAATTCCTGAGCAACTTTTGTCTGATTTAGAAAGTCCTTTCCTACACCCATATCCTGTATGCCAATATTTTCTTCTAATAGTTTCAGGGTTTCCAGTTTCACACTGAGGTCTTAGATCCATTTGGAGTTGACTTTTGTGCAAGCCGAAAGGATCTGGTTTCATTCTTCTACAGATGGAGATCAGTTTTCCCAGCACCATTTGTTGAAGATGCTGCCTTTCCTCCATTGTGTGTTCTTGGAACCTTTGTCAAATATCAGGTGGCTGAAATTGCGTATACTCAGGTTTGGATCTTCAATGATGTTCCATTGATCTATGTGTCTGTTTTTGCGCCAGTACCATGCTGTTTTTATGGCTCTGTAGTATACTTTGAGATCTGGTATGGTAATCCCCCCAGCGTTGCTCTTTGTGCTCAGGGTTGCTTTGGCTATCCAGGGTCTTTTGTGCCTCCATATGAATTTAAGGATGGATTTTTCTAATTCTGTGAAGTTATGTCATGAGGATTTTGATTGGGATTGCATTGAATCTATATATTGCTTTTGGTAGGATAGTCATTTTAACAATATTAATTCTTCTAATCCATGAACATGGGAGGTCTTTCCATCTCCTGGTATCTTCCTTAATCTTTTAACTATTTAAAATTTTCATTGTAGAGATCTTTGGTGTCTTTGGTCAGATCTATTCCAAGATATTTTTTTTGTAGCAATTGTGAATGGGAGCATTTCCCTGTATTCTTTCTCCAGTTGCTTGTTACTGGTATATAGAAAGGCTACTGATTTTTGTAGATTGGTTTTATAACCTGCCACTATACTGAAAGTGTTGATCGCTTCTAGGACTTTTGGGATCACTTAGGTATAGTATCATATCATCTGCAAAAAGTGATAGTTTGACCTCTTCTTTTCCAATTAGTACTCCTTTAATTTCCTTCTCCTGTCTTACTGCTCTAGCAAGAGTTTCAAGCACTTTATTGAAAAGGAGTGGAGATAGTAAACATCCTTGTCTGGTTCCTGATTTTAATGGCAATGGTTCCAGTTTTTCTCCATTTAGAATGATATTGGCTGTGGGTTTGTAGTATATGGCTTTAATTATTTTGAGGTATGTTCCCTCCGGTCCAGGTCCCTTTAGGACTTTGAACATAAATGCATGCTGAATTTTGTCAAAAGCCTTTTCTGCATCTATTGAGATGACAATGTGTTTTTTGTCTTTGAGTCCATTTATATGATTGATGACGTTTATTGACTTGGGTATATTGAACCATCCCTGCATCTCTGGGGTAAAGCCTACTTGATGATCATGGAGAATGATCTTTTTGATGTGTGTCTGTATGCGGTTTGCAAGTATTTTGTTGAGAATTTTTACCTGTATGTTCATTAAGGATATGGGTCTATAGTTTTCTTTTTTGGTTGTGTCTTTACTCGGTTTGGGAAGGAATTTGGGAGTTCTCCCTCTGTTTCTGTTGTTTTGAATAATTTTAGTAGTATTGGTTGGAGGTCTTTAAATGTCTGATAGAATTCTGCTGTAAATCCATCTGGGCCTGGGCTTTTTTTATTTGGGAGGCTTTGTATTACTGTTTCAATTTCCTTATATGTTACAGGTCTGTTTGAACTTCTTGATTTAACTTTGGAGGTTCCCATGATTTTAAATATCCATCCATTTGCAATGAAACTT